GGTGGCAAGGATGCCGAATGGACTGCGGAAACGGGTATCAGTCTTCTTGAATCCATCATGGAACACGAGAACTTGGTGAGCTGTGTCGTTTTTGACGCAATGGGCACTGGCGACACCTTCGACAAGGCGATTCTCTACGCACTCATCAAAAGCTCAACGACGGATCCCAATGATCAACTTCTGATTGCCCTGAAGTTCGGCCGCATCGATGTGGTCCAGGAAGAGATTCTATCGAAAGGCGTGAATTACCTCAAGTCGAAAATGCGACCCAGTAAGCATTTCATGTATCTGACGGTAAATGCTTAACATGCAAATTAGCAAGACCTTGAAGTAAAGCAAATTAATTCGGCAGAAAAATACTTGTGCAACGCAGTGACAGAATAGTTGTGTAAATTAACCTGGCATGAGTAACTCCTTTACTTGTGTGCAGCTGATTAAAGAACATATCGGTACCTCCTAGAGCCTCTAAAATAAGTTAAGTTTAGGGTGGTAACCTTCTACGATTTCCGTGCACATAAAATCCGATATGTTCACTTAGAAACTGAAATGACTCTTGTTTTGCTAATAAAAACATTCTTGTTGGTAGCTACCTTTGATTGTCCCGAAATATCTGTTTATTACAACTGTCTTTTTTATGACTCCTCCAGATAAATTGAAAGATATCATGACTACTGCTTTGCTAGAAGACCGTACAGAATTTGTGCAATTCTTGATCGACCTAGAATTGGTTAAAATGCAAACTTACCTGGACATGTCCACCCTTAACTGGCTGTACAACAATGTGGAAGATGCGTCCATTTTGAAGACGACTCTAAACTACTACGGAGTCGTCATGAAGCAGTCATCGCCGAGTCTTGTCGGGACTGCACTCATGGCCACCACGGCCAATGTCCTGTCCATGGACACGGAGACGGCTGGTGAAGCTAACAAAGTGCTCGAAATGCTTTTTCAACGGCGTAGCGTACGAGCGAAACGCGATTGGACGAATCTGCCGACGATTAGCGAACTCTTATTGAAGATGCTTGGGTCATTTAGTAGCCCCTACTACGAAGACATCATGGTGAGCGACACCATCTCATTGGTAGCTGCTTCCAGTTTGATTTAGACGCAATAATTATGTTTTGACGGAATATACATTAATGACTCTAAGCTGACATCGAGTGTCGTCACTTGAATTTTTTTCTGTAGCAGAGGATAGTCCTTGTCAATGTGATGAAATCGATAATGTCAAAACTATTGCAGGAGTTTGTGAAATTGTTTCGTTACCGATTGTCGTGTTCGGTCATTTTATAATGCGTAAATAATGAAGTTTCGTTTTTTTGACTCTTTCAGCCACTCAACCATAATCTCTTATTTCCGGAACCCTTCCAGGTAGACATCCGCTTTTTGACTACTTTATTTTTATTAGTCGAATTTTGTAAAACACTCAGTGACTGGTAGACATGCCTAAATTATGTCGGTAGGTGCTTTCCAATTTTCGGAATGACTGATAGCAGCGACTTCTCCATGTTGTTCGTCCTGAACTTGAAAGGTACAGCTTGGTGGTAACACGTCGTGCTGCTCTTTGCAGGAGTTGTTTATCTGGGCGGTCCTCTACAATCGGAACGATCTGGCTATGCTATTCTGGCAGTACGCTGATGATGCTATATCGCTTGGTCTAATTGGCTGCAATCTTTATCATAAGATAGCGCGAGCTCTGCCGTCCTATGACACCAACGGACAACTTATGCTAGCCACCCAGAAACTTTGCCTTGAGCAGGTATCAAAGGCAATGATTGAGCTCTGCTATTCAAAGTCAAATGTAAGTAGGCCTGTTAACTCAATTTTATCGATCTTTTCCACTTTAACTAAAGTAGCACGGTAAAACAAATTGTGTACTTATTTAAAAAACCCTTTGAGTAAAGATTTTAACATAAACGTTTAACTCGGAAATTTGTGAAATTATAAAGTTGCAACAATGAACCGCCACAGGATTTAGGCCGTCGGTAGAGTCAGAATGTAAATTACGCTATTCGAATGCTTTCAAATAATTCATTCCTTACGTCTTCATCTAAATATGGTTAAGCGAGCTCAGAAACTTCACATTACAAATGCTTCGTTAGGTTTTATCAATTTGCCTCTTGTCACTCGTGTAAAACTGCCATGTCTTTGTGCATTCGTGTGAATACGCCACACTGGAATCTCAATTCACGACACGTGCGCAAGGCGGTACTTAACATGTTAGTTCTCGATTTGTGCAGTTCCAAGGCATGATGTGCCAGACGCCGTTGTGCCTGTCGTACAGTGTTGAAGATTTCACACATTTAATTAATTATGGTCCAGGGTTTGCGATGTTGATCATAAATTTGGAGTATAAAGACCTCCTTTCGTTATACCTACCAACAAACATGAGATATTTGTTGTCACAATTAAGACGTCCTTTTGTAAGCGTGGAAGAATCTCTAATAATTCTTGAAAATAAAGTTTTCTGGTAATAGCTTTTTCATCCGATTATACTTATCGATTCTCAATCATTTCAGACTTGAGTTAAATTTCATTTTCTCGATTTGACAAGATGCAACTATGTTCTTTTCTTCCTTCTGCTTATCTGACAACCATTTCGTCGTGTTATCGCTAACGCATGGCAACATAGATTCTTTTCAAAAGCACACATGGTTCTGACGACTGATCACAATTTCAACCTGACACATAAGGAAATTTTCCGGACCTCCACACCTCGAAGCAAAATACTGCGAAAATTCTCATGTGCAAATCAGCAATGTGCAACTTGATGCGATGTCTTTTCAGTCTTAATAAGTTTTTAAAGAAGACACCTGTTGGGTGTTATAGCGAGGCTCCCTCACTAGTTGCGACAACATCATCAAAAGACACGGTTCTGGTTGGTCTATCAGTAAATTTCGTTGTACGAGGACTTAACCATATTTTTGAGGGATTAAACGTGGTCAAGTAGAGTATCAACGACAACCATAGAAATTGGTAAAAGCGTAATTGACGCGAAGACGCAAAAGCATCTCCGACGGTCACTATGAATTCTTCGTTTTGCAGGAGAAAGCTCTTTACCTGCTTGAACGCCCGCTTATAACGTGGGGTGACCACAGATGTATGCCACTGGCAGTGCATGCTGAATGTCGTGAATTTATCGCCTCAGTGGCCTGTCAACATGCAATCGATTTTGAATGGCGCGCAGGTATCCACGCGAATCCAGTCGCATTGATTCTGGGATACATGTGCCCGCTGCTCCTCTGCACAACCAAGTTGATTCGTTTCGAGGAACCGTCCAAGTTGCTTGAAGTTGCCACCGGAGACGACATATTTCAACAACTCGGCAAAAGACTAAAACCCACGCTGGACACCACCAAAGACGAAGAGGAACCATCAATACCGAATTCGAAGAAGCTTGAGATGTTTTACCGAGCACCGAGAACCAAATTTTGTGCTCACACGGCAAGTTCAATTGTTGTTGCTTCCTTAGCTTGGGGAGGGTGGTGTAACATTCTGCACGTTTACCGTCGACTGTTCACTGAAATAGGAGGTGTGCAACAGTTGCTTCACTATTTTTGCACCCGCAATATTTAGAAGCCATAAAGGGACTCCACGAGACAATATTGTTCAATTCTGTCAAACTGTAGCATAAGCATCTTGTTGTCCTCCTCACAGGCGTTCTATGCAGTCTTCCTCGTCTTCTTCTCGTACACCCTTCTGTTCGGATTGAAGGCAGACAGGGTGACTGTTCTGGAGGCGATTTTAATGGTCTACCTGTTTTCGTTTGGTGTTGAAACCGTTCGAAGTGTAAGTTGATTGGTCCTTGTTAATATCGTGAGTTGAATCCGTTTAGACGATCGACAAGTCACTTCGATGCACCAACAGGTAGTAGGTGTGCCAATGACATAAATGGTAGGCGAGGCCGGTAATTATCCACTGAGGGATCGAGACGACGGCCGAAATTCAGTTGACTGGCAGTTTCACCAAAAATGACTCGTCGATTGATTACCACGTGTATAATGGTGATAAAATGTTTGTTTTTGTAGTTTGTGAAATCTGCGTGGGAGAGGGGATCCGTTGGGTTTCATCTTGCCAAGTGGCTAAGGGGCAATAAGTGGCACCCTTACGACGTTGCACTCATCTTCGGTTGCGCAACTGCAATCGCCCTACGGCTGGGCTTGGAGGAGACCTTCATCTATGCCAAATCGGTGTACTCAATCGTGCGTAAGTAGGATGCATTTCTAACTTGAGACAAGAGCAGGTCTACCAGATCCACCTACTCAAACGCTTATTAGCTTGTTGTGGTTGTCGACACTAACAGACCTTGGCATTGTCATCGAGTTTGACGTAGAACACGCATTGTTGTTAATTGTAGTGGTATTTTTCTTCCTGCGACTCTTCCAAATGTACGCGGTTAATCGCAAACTTGGTCCGAAATCGGTGATGATCTTTCACATGCTCGTTGAACTGGCTGTTTTCCTGCTAATTCTGCTCATCTTTCTCGTGCCGTACGGCATCTCAACTCAAGCAGTACTCTTCCCTTAT